AGAGAGAGAGAGAGAGAGAGAGAGAGAGAGAGAGAGAGAGAGAGAGAAGACAGGGAAGAGAGAGAAGACAGGGAGGAGAGAGAGGAGAGAGAGACAAGGCATGGGCTGCAAAGCTCTTTCGTGGGACCAGGAAGAATGAGTGTCCACCCTCTTTGTAAATCTTAGGAGAATCTGTGCTTCTCATGGTCCAGATGCCAACCATTCCCCGGGTCGGGCAGTGCGACAGATGCCGAACTGCACTGCAGATGCTAACACTTGTAGCTTCTGAAAGGGAAGAAGGGCAAGGCACGGTGGGGCCAGGTCTTATCTCCTGATTCACCACAGTCCATGGATCCATGGTTGCCTGCAGACCTACTACTACATAGCTAAGATGGGTGCCCTGGTTCCTCTCCCTAGGAAATCATCACTGTCGTAAATATGTCCAGGAGGAGGGAAGTGGACCAAAAAGAAACCAGGGTGGGAAGAGGACCAGATGGCCCTGGCCAGCACTGACAGGGTGCCTGAGCACAAGCAGCAATGGAATCAGGGCACCAGTGACTGGAGTTTACTGGAAGTGGTGGGTAACGGTGAAAGCAGCAACCGAAAGAGCAAACTGGAAAAGAGCAGGGCTACCTGTGCTGGGGTCTCCAACTGCACCCCACATCCCTGAGCCCCGGTGGAGAAGCAAACCGGCTCACATTAGAAATGGGATGAGCACAGCCACCCAGGTGCAACACTTGCATTGGCACCAGACCAGTGATTAAGGGATAGTGAATTCAGCCCGGAACTTAAGAGTCTTCTCGGCAAGGGAAGGCCTGTTCAGGGCTGGGTGACACTATAAAACCCAGGTGCCCGGGAGCAGGGAGGCTGGACTCCCACAGGCGAGGGTCAGTGCTCCTATTCTCCAATAAGACAAAACGGGATTTTCATCGCCTGCAGATTATGGCTTTGGCTTTCCTGTCTGAGCATTTCTTTACAATGCTGAGTGTGATCTGGGACATTTGTTTGTACTGTAGAGTTTTGAGCTACGTCTAGTTGACTATTGTATATTTATTTACACAGCCAAAGTAATTGCAGCTAATCACTTAATTACTGGAAATGTGCATAATTGCCTGATCTCAACATATAATTAAAATGTACAGCAACATTATGAATCCCATTTTTAAGATGTAGGTTTGGGAGCCTTCAAAAGACGGCTTTATTGAAAATGATCAGGAGTACCTGTGGACCATAGGGTTCAAGCCTGTTCCTATGCAAACCCAAGCAAATTCACAAATGCATACTATATTCAGTTAAAGAGAGACAGGTGAAACCAAACACCATCTTGAATGTGGAAAGTCAAATAAGAAAACCAAACATGACACAAAATGATCCTGGACCTTTTGTACAGGTGCTGTGACAGGAAGGTGTACAGACAGGCCTCTGGAAGACCCCATTAGCTGACCCATTCTACCAAGCCCTCAGTGGGGTTTGGGCAGACTTCCTCAAGAGTGCGGAAACAAACATCTTGGGGTTCTTAGGGATGCTAGAGCATGCAGGCGCCTGCTTGGGGAATGCTGTGCTGAGGCACGGCCACAGTGGCAGGCAGATCCAAATCAGAGTGGGAAGACACGACTCATGAAAGCACCCTGCCCCACTTCTGCAGCACTTTCTGTGTCCTTGGTGACCAAGGAGACAGAGAAGCCACACTTCTTTTATTCTGTGCTCATGAGACTACTCAGGAGACGTATCAATCACAACTTGTATGTAGAAGCAGTCCACACTGCTTCCATGTATTTGCTTTTTCTGTATTTGTCTTGCTTATCCTAATTCAGCTGATACCACTCTTGGAACCGGTTTCCACCACATTTCTAAAGAAGCACAATGAACTAAAATACCTACTTTATCTTTTTCTCCAAATCACACCCTCAACAGCTATAGGAAAGGACTGTGTTTAGGGAGTGACTCTACCCTACC